GGCATTTTTTCTTAATTTTTGTAATTGCCCCGGGCAAAATTACTTGAAAAAGATTGGCTGAAAATCGCTTGGCAACGGCTGCCAAAGTAAAGAAATTTCTGTTTGTTTTGTAACAATGGCTTCCCGTTTTGCGCGAGATCAGTAAGAAAACATTTTGCCTCTTATATTGTAAACAAGTAATCACATGGTTCCTCGTAAAATTAAGGATTAATATCACTTGTGTTTTCGGAAGTTGCAGAAATTGACCTCGTCGCTGCGCGACTCGGGCAATTTCAGCAACATCCGAAAAGACACGTGATATTAATCCTTAATTTTACTCGGCCCCATGCAATTACCTATACTTATTCTTGATGATAGAGTATTTGACATGGAGCTTAGTAGAATGAATCAGTGATGGTAAGCTAAGAAAAGCGTTCTCCATCATTTTCTTTCCGTTTTTCGTTGGTAATTTCTAGAATGTTTGACCAAAGGAGATTTATCATGAGTAAATATTATAATTTTTTTTACTTTTATAGAGCAGAAGTAACCTCGTTGGCTTAAGTTTAATCATGTATAGTAGGTGGATTTGTGAGCGTGAGATGCAATGCTTAAAGTGAATATGAAAGCGATCTTCCCAGTAAAGAACACTGCCTGAGCAGTAGTGAAAATAAGGTCTAAAAAACATTTATCATCATTCTTCATCATACACTCATCATTTCGCGGCTTTATTACGAACCAACAAAATAACCGAAGGTATAATCTTTTCAGTTCCTACCGTGACAGGTTGTGACGATACAAGGACTACAAAGAAACCGTAGGCAACTCAAAATAATTTCACGGTGGCATCCACCGTCGTTTAATTCATATCAAAACTTTTCCCTGCAGAAGTATCTCAATAGATATTATTTGAAAAGAGAGCACTTTTTGAATCAGCGACTTAAGCCAAAAGAGCCGCTAAATTTGCGAGCAAGTTATTAGCTGTAACCATTTAATTATGGGTAGAATGTCAGTTAGACTATTAGAATGTCATTATATTCTTGAATCATCTTTTGTAGATTAGGGTAATCATTAACATGTGGGATGCAGTAGGTTTCCTTTTTTGCACGTGAGACAAATATTTTACAAAAATCTCTTCTAACGTTGTTAGACAACCTCTAGTTCTTTTTAATACTATAAAATTTGTGCTTTACCAGTAGCCACATGCAGTCTTTAACTATCATGATATTCTTCAAACATTTAAACCCTCAAAGCTCAAGTCATCAAGAAATGCTATAAAAATCATTACAATGATATTTTGAAGAAATACAATATATAAACAGCAGGCAAACACGCGAATTGGCTTCAGTCATGGAATATTTTTTATATCCCTACAGAGTAGTAAATTTTTCAACAAAGGAAATTACTTCGTATTTATAAAATACCTTTATCAAACACATTTTTACTTCTTCCGTTGGAAAAAAGTCAAAACAGGGCTGAGGAAACTCAAACCCGCCTATTTTCTTCTAATGAAGTTCCTTTTTTGATTACTACTAATTTCTTTCCTCTTCATAATGTTAAACTTCGCATCTAGACTAATGTTACAGCACTCCGTCTTCTCCTAGTCGCGAGCTTCTGCTTAAGAAAACTTAATATGGACCTCGTGTACAGTTTCCCATCCTTAACCTGGAACAAAGGGGCATGATTTTTACCTTCTTGCTCAAGACTTGGGATGATGTCAGTGATTACAGCGGTGTTGAGATCTTTAGATGGATAATTGTAAGCCTCAAACACTTGGTCGACTGATTTTCTAACGGCCTCGATCACAAACTTTAGGTTGTCTTTTTTGTCTTCATTCAGAAGCAGTCCATCGCCGAATACTATCCACTTATCGCCTCTTTTATTTGTCACATGGAGGCCCATTTTACCATCTTCATCGTGCATATGCTTGCTCAAGTAATGACCAAGATTGCGTGGGATAATTCTCTTAGCCAAGGCAACTCTGGGTGTCCTGCAAACAGAATTTCAGCAAAGGAATACTCAATTTTTTTTTAGATTATTCTGACAAACGAAAGAGACTTGACAAAACCAGAACTTGAACGTTATGTATTACGCACGTACATGACAATTGGCAGTGCGCAGATAAAAGCGACAATGCACATCACAGCGATCACGGTAATGACAATAACAATCATGATTTGTACCGAATGTGTCCACTCGAGAAGCTGTCAGTCAGGAAGTGGCAGGCAAAGCCATCTAGTGATAAGGCTTCGTGTATCAAATTCTCCTTCTCTTCAGCGTTAGTTTTACAACTCGCCTCTCTAGCTTT